AAAAAAAAAAAAAAATGTGATGAGCTAGGGCATTTTCTCCATCAGAAATTCTCCATGGGGACTGTGGGAGAAAAATCACCTTTGTGTGAGAAGAGCCGCCCCGGCCAGAGCCCTAGACAGACCTGACACAGCTGGCAGGTGGGGAAAGGCGTAAGAAAAGCCTCTTAGCACAGACTGAGGGGGAGGGCTGCAGTGAGTGGAGCTTTAGGGGATGAAATGGATGAAAACCAGGGAGGAGACAAGTGGACTTGGTCCTCTGCATCCATGGGTTCCACATCTGTAGATTCAACCAACTGCAGATGGAAAATATTTAAAAAAATTCCCTCCACATTCTAAAAAATAAAACTTGAATTTGCCTTGAGCCAAGTACTATGTTGAATCCACACAAATGCAGTAATGTGTAGGTATTGTACTAGGTATCATAAGTAATGCAGAGATAATTTAAAGCATATGGAGGCAGATAGCAGTCACACAGCGGAAGCATGCTGGTCCCGTAAAGTATATAGGAGCGTGTGAGTAGGTTACATGCAAATACCGTGCTATCTTATACCAGGGACCAGAACGTCCTCAGATATTGGTATAAAAGGGGAGATCTGGAACCAGTCTCCCATGGAGATCAAGCAATGACTACACAGTGGTTATAAATGGAACGTACTTTCATGTTTCTTGACATGCAAGCCAAGATGGGGATTCCTTTTCAAATTAATTTCAGTTGCTATATAAGGCACTGTGGAATGTGACACTGCTGAGACATTAGGCTGCAAGTAAAATAACACCCGGGTCCATAATTTTAAGATCAGAATAAGATGCACGGCTTGTAACACATGTGATATTTAATAGGTTGAGATTCTTAGAGGTTATATTATTATTGACATATTGACATTTAACTTCCATAGTTGAATTGGTTAAATACATATTCTAATAATTTCGATTAAAAATGGAATTTTGCCTTATGATCTAATATCCCGTGGGAGCTATAAAAGCTACCATTTTCTTTCTGCAAGCATACAAAAAACCCTCGTCTTAAATTCAGGCCTAATATTTTCCCAGCTTATGCTGTGAAGTATCACAAATGCATAGAAAATGCAAATGCTAGGAATTTAAATTTTCCTTTATTGGCCATTATTCTAGAATCCTAACACAGAGCTCAGTTTCTCTACTGTGGCTAGGGTAAAGATGTACCAGTGGAATCAGGTGTGGCTCAAGCCTGTAATCCCAGCTACTCTGGAAGCTGAGGCAGGAGGATCTCTTGAGGTGAGAAGTTTGAGACCAGCCAGGGCAACATAGTGAGAGGCCTGTCTCCAAAAAATTTTTAAAACAATTAGACATGTGCAGTGGTATGCACATCTATAGCCCTAGCTACTTCTTGGGAGGCTGAGGTGGGAGGATTGCTTGAGCCCAGTAGCTGGAGATTATAGTGAGCTATGATCATACCACTACACTCCAGCCTGGGTGTCACAGCAAGACCCCATTTCAAAAAAAAAAAAAAAAGAGAGATAATAGTAAAGATCTAAAGAGCACCAGAGGATTTGCTCTTCCAAGTTTTACATTTTGTATGATTTGTAAGAACCGAGACACTGGTTCTGTTGATGAGAACATGCTGTGGTGGACAGCGCCATATTTGTCCAAGGCCATGTACCTCCATATGTACCTGCTGTGGGTCTGGACCTTACCTGAAAGTTCTAGCTTGTCCACTGGGGCATCTCCTCTTGGCAGTGGGCCTGTGGCTGGCGGCATCTCTAGATTTGGTATTGACTTCATGATATTGGCCTGAGCTTCTTCTAGGAGCTTCTCAAACTCTTTCCCATTATAGTGGTCCAGATTTTGCCTTTTTTCCTCCCATTTCTTTTCTGCTTTCTGGAGGAAGATAGCAGGTAAAGGAAGTTACATGGACACAGTGAGGGGAACAACACACACTGGAGCCTCTCAGAGGGTAGACGGTGGGAGGAGGGAGAGGATCAGGAAAAATAACTATTGGGTACTGGGCTTAATATCTGGGTGATAAAATAATCCTCACAACAAACCCTCATGACACAAGTTAACTTATGTATTGAACCTGTACTTGTACCCTTGAACTTAAAAGATTTTTTAAAAAGAGGGAAAAGCTAATGAATAGTTCAGAGATTTCATGTTGGGGTGAGGAAGGGACATGGCATAATTCAAGTGTTGGTACAATAATGTTGTGGTTTCTGTGCTAAGGGACATTTTTGCACATCAGACAAATTTTGCCAAGTCCACGCCACCCAACCTTCTGCTGTCCGCTATACCATCTATACTTACACGGGCTGCCGCTTAAGGCCAAGTGCGATTCATTCGCAGAGAAGCAAGCTTGGATACCCAAATTCGTTCATTAAATTATTACTGAGCACTGATTATATACTTCTTACCAACATTAAACAAAAAGAGACACAGAAGATGCCTTTGAAAGTATTTTTTCTACCTCCAAGATTTATTTCTTTTGGAGGAAGAGTCTCAACCTGTCATCCAAGCTGCAGTGCAGTGGCATCATCATAGCTCACTGTAGCCTCCAACACCTGGGCTCTAGCAATCCTCCTGCTTCAGCCTCCTGAGTAACTAGAACTACATGTGTGAGCCACCATACCTGGCTAATTTTTTTTTTTAAAGTAGCAATGGGGTCTGTTATGGTTGCCCAGGCTGGTCTTGAACAATTTGCCTCAAGGAATCCTTCTGCCTTGAGTGAGACATGAGTCTCACTCAATTAAAAAAAAAAATTTAGTCTGGGCATGATGGCTCATGCCTGTAATCGAAAGTGCTGGGATTATGGGCATGAACCACCGTGCCCAGCCTAAACTTTTTTTAAAAATTGAGGTTTCATTGTAGAAGAGATGCTCAAGCAAGCAAACAAAACCTACAACACTAAGAACAAAATCCTGTGTCTTAGTACCACATCTATCAAAGAATTGCTATATGCCCTTCTGCGTCACACTGTCTTACTTATGAGGGAGGAGGTATTTTTTAGATGACCTATAAGCTCCTTGAAGTTCCACAACAGAGAGATACATATAAAATGCATTTTAAAACATCTGTACACTTTTTAAAAGAACATTTTTCCTGTGCTTTTTGAGCTAGCACGTTAATAATTCCAAGAGGGTAGAGTGGAAATTTACACCAAGATGAGTGGAACCCTGTAACATAAGAATTGGCAATGATCACTGAATCAACATTTGGTAACTTTGAGGTCCAGTGAGATGAAGATTTAATTTGCCCAAGTTTCGTTACATATAAATAACAGCCACCACCTCCACCATCCTAACCCTCCTTTATTTTTTCTTCCAAACATTTATTACCACGTGGCATATGTTTTTTTCTGTCTCTTCCTACAGGTAGGTAAGTTTTTTAGAGCAGAGACTTTGCCTATTCTGTTTACCACCTTTCCCCTGAGCCTGCGAGGGCCTGGCACATAGGGGGCTCAGTAATCTCTGTTGAATGAATAAAGCTCATCCCATTCGTCTGTGGCAGAACTCGCAGAAAAACCCAAGCCTCTATACCTGTGGATAAGGGCATTTTCAGAGATGACTCACGTCTCCCCTCAAAGCGTAAAATATACACATCGCAATGATAACCACGCCCACTAGATTCTCAAAAGAGATTTGTTAAGTAAGAGTGCCATTATACTGACATCCTTTCAATATTGAGATGTCTAAAGTGGCAAGACCTCTTAAGTAACAGATCTGCCAGTTCTCAGGAGGAAACATCTTTTCCTCCCCTGCCCTACTAGACACTGGGAATAGAATCACACTCCATCAATGACATTTCCATACCCTTGTGATAAGCATTTTTTAAATTGCTGACTCTGATGAGGGGCACAGCCAGGGACGCTGGGACAGAGAGAAACCACCTGGTGTTCAGAGCCCCCGAGGCCGTGACCATGGCCATGGCAGTTTTGCCAGGTGGTCTCAATATACCCAACCTGAGCTCTCCACTGATGACTTTCAGTAGAGGCAGGAGGGTTAGGACAAGGTTGCCGGGGATAAAGCAAATGAGTGGAGGAAAAGTTATCAGGCAAGAAGAAAGAGAGAAGTACAAAAGCAAAATGTATTATCTAAGCATTGGTACCAGCCCTCGATAAAAAGAATATTTAAAAACATCGTATGTCATTTGATATATATATATTTTTTAAGACAGGGTCTCACTCTGCCACCCAGGCTAGAGTGCAGTGGTGTGATCTTGGCTCACTGAAGGCTTGACCTCCCCGGGCTCAGGTGATCCACCTACCTAAACCCCCTGGAGTAGCTGAGGCTACAGGTATGCGCCACCACGCCCAGCTAATTTTTGTATATTTTTTGGTAGAGCTGGGATTTTTCCATGTGGCCCAGGCTAGTCTTGAGCTCCTGCTCAAGTGATCCACCTGCCTCGGCCTCCCAAAGTGCCAGGATTACAGGCATGAGCCACCAAACATGGCCTCATGTCATTTGATCTTAAGACCTAGTTTTCTCTTTTCATTCTGACTGCTCTACTGCTTCTTAGATGACTATAATAACTGCTCAGGCAGCTCTCTTAATCCTGGACCCCGCACCTCAATCAATTCTGTGTGTTGTTTCTAGATTCATTTCCATAAGATGCCATTTAAAAAACATCATGGATTAAAGCTTCAGCATTTCTCTGATATCTACCAAATAAAGTCCAAACATCATGGACTCGTTTCCAAGCTCTCAGGTCAGTTTCCAGCCCATTTCCCCAGGCTTAGGTCATCTTTCTTGTTCCACTTAGACAGGCTTTCCAGACTTTGAGCATTTTTGTATCCTGAGATATCCTCACCACCTTCCCCTGCTCATCAGGTTCCATTTATGGTCTTGATGAGTGGCAAACCCTCCCCGGGCTGCCTTCACCGCAGTGGAGTGCTTGAAGCCGGCTTGTGCTGGCCCCGGAGGACTGATGGTCACATTTTTCCCCAACTTCAGCAGCAGCAGTGTCACATCATAACTTGAAATCAGCCATGGTTGTGATATTTACACCATGGAAACTGGCAAATGCCACAAATAGAGCCACCCCCACCACAACCACTACCCTACCAGAGAGCTGGTTGTTAAACATTTACCAGCACAGCCCTGCCTCACTTTCCTACAGGCTGAGCGTCTCACCTTTCTCTGAAACCAGATGACCTATCTCTTAACTTGGCCACTGAATCCCACTTCCACTTCCAAAAATCAATCTCTGATCCATACATGATTATGTCATCATCTGGCCTATAAACACTTTGAGGGAAAGGCCCCTGTGTCAGACTCCTTTACAGGGTTATGAGAAATGTAAATAGGACTCTACCTCAATAGACACTGCCCTGTTCTTGGCACTTGCGCTGTGGATTTCTTCAATGAACAAGCTCTGCATGGCAGACCCATTCATGGGTGTCTGTGGGGACTGCGGAGCCTGCGATGTCAGCAGGGTGGAGGTTGCTTCCGGGGGGACAGCTGGGGGGCTGGCCGCGTGAGGCAAGTTCTGGGCAGGGTTCAGCAGGGCCACGGAGTGCTGGGAAGGCTGGATGACCACCGGAGAGCTCTGCGCGTGGTGAACTGTCATGCCAGACAAGGGCACCACTTCCGACTTTGCATCACCAGGGGCTCCTGAGCTGTGGAGGGGCTGGCCAGAGGTGTGGGCTGCCTCCTCCTGGCTCTTCAGGACTTCTGCAGCTGTGGCCTTTTCCATAGCCATGTACTGTGCGGCTTGGGCTGCGTCCGTGCCTTTTAGGAGCCCATCAGTGACATGTCTAGGAGAAACCATACACAGCAGCATTAGCCCTCACGCCACTTTATCATTGTGTTATATTTGCAGGCTATGCCATCCCAAAGACAGGTAAGAGTCACACATCCCAATGCCTGGAGTAGCAGCCTAGGGGCATCTATGAAAATATCCCTTTCCACGGGTGCTGTTGTGCTGAGACCCTTGCAACTCCATCAGTGTCTGGGTGGGTGGGTAGAAGAAAATGAACATGAGTCTACCAGCACCCTCTCTAACTCCTCCACCCGATTCTGGCCTATGCAGCCCTTAAATATGCTTAGTTCTAAGCCAAACGTTTCCTTAATCCCTCCTCCTGTCACTGTCAAGCATCTTGGGCGGGCAGCCCGCATTCTAATTCCTTCTGTTTGCTCTTCTGTATCTCAACCTGTTGCTAACTGGCTTCCCCAACTGGATTCAACCAAGTCTTGCCTTTGAGGCAAGTCAACAGTGACTCCACCTCTAACAGTTGTGTGTACTCCTCCACTTCCTCTGGTTTTGGGAGTCATGTGAAGCCATATGTCCCTCCCCACCCATGATGTAGTGGAAAAGACAGGGTGTTCGGTGTCAGATCTGTGTTTGATGACCAGCTTTTTCATGTTTTATATAATGTTGAGAACATCACCTCTTTAAACCTCAGATACTTTTGCATAACATACAATGATGAAGATGGGGATGATGGTGATGATGAGAATGACTTCCCCAGGGCCTGTTGTTTTAGGGTTAACATTAACATTGTACAGTTAGGTGTGAGAATGCCAAACATGGTACTTGACCTCTAATTTTTAGTTACTCCGTCATCCCCTTTTTATTATATTGCTTTTTTTTATTTGAAAAAAGACATTGCATTCCATAACTCTTCTGCTACTCACTTCTTTTTTTTTTTTTTTTTTTTTTTTTTTCCCCAAGCTCAGAAATTCCAAGTGTAATCCTGAAAAAGTAATTTTTTTTTTGTAGGTTTTTTTTTCTGTTTATTTTTCTACCCCAACTCCTTAGATTCTTAAAGATCCTCAAGGATTTGTTCTCTCCTTTCCCTATCATTCTACATTAACCATCTCTTCCATTTTCTTTTCTTTTAAGAGACTGGGCCTCGCTCTATTGCCCATGCTGGAGTGCAGTGGCTGTCATAGTCCACTGTAGCCTCAAACTCTTAGGCTTAAGAAATCTACCTGCCCTGGCCTCCCAAGTAGCTGGGACTACAGGCACACACCACACTTCCTGGCTAATTTTTAAAATAATTTGCTGTAGAGATGGGGTCTTGCTCTGTCACCCAGTGGTGTGATCATAGCTCACTGCAGCCTTGAACTCCTGGGCTCAAGTGATCCTCCCATCTCAGCCTCCCGAGTAGCTGGGATTGCAAGCACGTGCCACTGTACCCAGTGATCCTTCCCATTTTCAGTACTCATCTCCATGAAGGTGACTTCCAGTTCGAAATCAGTCTTTCCTTCCTCCCTCCACATAGGCAGAGAGCCCCTCTGACTCTGTCTCATAAACTCTAGTCCACTATTCTAAGTGCCGAGTGGGCATCTGTGTTTGGGTGCCCTTCCAATGCCTCACATGAAACATGTACCACATACTTCCACATCTTTCCAAGTCCCTAAGTCTGCTCTGATCTGTGACTGTGGCTGTGACCTGCTTTACCTTTCCTGCCTGGACATGAGGACATACGCATGTCCCTGGGGCATGCATAATGATGACCTTCTTCCGTGTGTCTTCTACACTGACAAGTATAGCACATTATGAACAAAAGATACTAAGACAAAATTAATTATATTAAGGCTTATGATGGGTAGCCTAATGGTGCTAAATTTCTTTTTTTAAAAAAATGTTTTATTTATTATTTATTTTTTTTTGAGACGGAGTCTCAATCTGTTGCCTAGGCTGGAGTACAGTGAGGCAATCTCAGCTCACTGCAACCTCCGCCTCCCAGGTTCAAGCATTTCTCCTGCCTCAGCTCCCAAGTAGCTGGGATTACAGGTGCCCACCAGTGTGCTCGGCTAATTTTTGTATTTTTATAGAGATGGGGTTTCATCATGTTGGCCATGCTGGTCTCGAACTCCTGACCTCAGGTGATTTGCCTACCTTGGCCTCCTAAAGTGCTGGGATTACAGGCATGAGCCACCATGCCTGGTCTATTTTTTATTTTTTAAAGTTGCTTTATTAGCTTTATGTATCACTCTTACCACTATTTATGGAACAAAAAGTCATATAACATTTTCAAAACACACAATCTAATCTTCTTTCAGCACTTGCACTCACTGAAGACAAGACATATGCTGGTCTTTGTCACTCTGTGCTGGCTGTAAAAATATTAATACCTTTTCATTGTTTTTCAGGGAAGAGAAAGAAGAATGGGGCAGTTACACCTGCCTGTTCACTATCTATTCTTGCTTACCACAAATAGATCGTGTGTTTTGAGGTAAGAACTCAATGAAGAATTCTTTTTATCCTACTGGAGGAAGGCATTCATTTTGGTAACTTAAAATGTGTGAACCGGCCGGACGCAGTGGCTCACGCCTGTAATCCCAGCACTTTGGGAGGCCAAGGCGGGTGGATTACGCGATCAAGAGATCGAGACCATCCTGGTCAACATGGTGAAACCCCGTCTCTACTAAAAAATACAAAAAATTAGCTGGGCATGGTGGCGCGTGCCTGTAATCCAGGCTACTCAGGGGGCTGAGGCAGGAGAATTGCCTGAATCCAGGAGGCAGAGGTTGCGGTGAGCCGAGATCGCGCCACTGCATTCCAGCCTGGGTAACAAGAGCGAAACTTCGCCGCAAAAAAAAAAAAAAAAAAAAAAAATGTGTGAACCCATGAGAAAATGTAATACAAGTACAATTTCTTCCTGTACACAGTTAGATATGGACTCTGCATGAGGAGGCATTTAAAAAAAATCAGAATTCCTCTGGCATCCTGGAACTTATGGAAGCGACTATATAGCTGTGTTAGAATGTTACCATCTTAAAAGGGGCTGTTTCTTGAAGGTATTCACTACTAGAAAAATCTAACTTGCTCCTTATGGTTAATAATTTGTCTTGAAGTTAAGTACACACAACAGATTTCTTTTATACATCTGATCCAATGATTACAGTTAGCAATTTAAATCTCACAAGTAAGTTTTTTGTAGGTGACTTCGGTTTGTGACCTGCTCTCAAATCTGGTCCAAGATCTGAAGGGTAAACTCCTTGCAATTTCCTAGTTCTGTTAAAGAACTGAAGACTCAGGGCTGCCACTGTTGGGAAGTGGTTTATTTTTGGTCATTGTCTAGTGTCTGTTTCCCATGCAAGACAGCAAGTTACAGAAGGCAGGGGTCCTGACTGTCTTGTTTATTACGGTATTCCTAACACACAACACCAGGGCTGGCACAGAGAGGATGTCTAAATATTACCAACTGCCTGGCTTTGGGACAAGCACCAATAAAAACTGTGGAGTCAAACTGTCAGTTCATATCCCAGCTCCACCTCTGACATGTAGTGAATATCCTAAAACCTTAGATTCTACCTATAAAATATGAAAAACAGGTCTGTCCTATAGGGCTCTCTATGAAGTCTGAAGGAGCAAATAAATGCAGAGTGTTTAGTTCAGTGCCTGACACATGGAAAGAGTTCACAAGGGAAGTTATTGTTACTATCATGTTGAGAAGAAAGACATCTAACTGTAACCCAGATACAGAGCATATAATAGTATGAGATGCTATTTACAAAGGGACTTTCTTTCTTTCTTTTTTTTTTTTTTTGAGATGACGTCTCACTCTGTCTCCCAGGCTGGAGTGCAGTGGTATGACCTCAGCTCACTGCAGCCTCCACCTCCTGGGTTCAAGTGATTCTCCTGCCTCAGCTTCCCCAGTAGCTGGGATTACAGGTGTGCCACTGCCTGCAATTCCTATGGGAATTCACTATGTTGGCCAGGCTGGTCTTGAACTCCTGACTTCAAGTGATCCACCTGCATTGGCCTCCCACAGTGCTGGGATTACAGGCATAAGCCACTGTGCCTGGCCCATGAAGGTGCTTTTGACAACACGAATTTTGCATGTATATGTATTTTCAGTGAGTGTGGAGTTCTGGAATTTTCTTTTCAATGAAAGTCCTGGATTTCTTTTGGTTTTTCCCTCCACTGTGACCTCTTTGATGAGCAGGTTTATCCTTAGGAAGGGAGCCTGGCCCAGGCCACTCAAAAGGCTTTGTTTCTCTTTTCTAGGTAGGACCAACAAACTCACAGAAACTCCTTCAGGAGTTCATTTAAGAAAGACTGTTTATTTCTATTCAGTTTCCTTGAACGGAAGCCATCTATGCCCCTGAAGTGAAGGAGGCTAATAAACTATTTCAATCCATCTTTTAACTTCAAAATGTTATTTTAAAAAATCCACGTTCAAATGATTTTTTTTTTTTTTTTTTTTGAGATGAAGTCTTGTTCTGTTACCCAGGCTGGAGTGCAGTGGCATGATCTCGGCTCACCACAACCTCCGCCTTCCAGTTTCAAGCAATTTTCCTGGCTTAGCCTCCTGAGTAGCTGGGATTACAGGTGCACACCACTGCACCCAGCTACTTTTTTTGTATTTTTAGTACAGGCGAGGTTTCACCATGTTGGTCAGGCTGGTCTTGAACTCGACCGCAGGTAATCCACCCGCCTTGGCCTGCCAAAGTGCTAGGATTATGCCACTGTGCCTAGCCGATTTTTTTTTTTTAAAGAATGGAGTCTTTCTCTTTTGCCCAGGCTGGAGTGTAGTGGCTCAATCATAGCTCACTGCCTCATACTCCTGGGCTCAAGGAATCCTCCTGCCTCTACCTCCCGAGTGGCCACCACGCCTGGCCTTTCAGATGATTTTAAAACAATGCTTACTGTGTCTATTAATTTTAAACCCTAGGATGAGCTCCACCTAGCCGGCCTGTGTTGAAGAATCAGAACCTCAAGCCATATTGCAATAAAAGTTCCAGGGTGAGGAGGACTTGTGGCTTTTCCTCAGGACACTGGAGATTGCGTCACAAGGAGGACAGGTCCCAGGAGCGTGGTGGAAGCCTGAAGTCGAAACCCTCCACTCTGGCTTTCCCAGCACGCCCCTCCACAGGCCACCCCCAGCACGATAAGGGCCCGGTCACCTCCGCAGCATGGTCAGGATGTCTGTCATGCTGCGCACACGCTTCAGGAGACTGTCCAGCTTATGTGGCTCTTCCTTCAGAAACCGCACGGCCTCCACTTCTATGCGCAGGATTGCTCGCATCTTGTTTTGCAAGGTTGGAAATTCTCCTGCAGGCCCAAACCAGCAGGTGAATTGGAGGAGAAAAAGCCAGAACAACAACCCTCATCCCACGCTCCGATGCTGGACAGAGAGATGCCGAGTTCACAAGCCACAGGGCGGCTCACATATCTCCAGGTAGCAGTGGCTTAAGAGCACAGAAGAACAGTGGACAAAGGCACCTTGGGTAAGGGCAAAGGCTCCTCTAGGCCTGTTTCCTGTCTGTGTATTTGGGATAAAGCCAATTGACCCTAAGGGTTATCATTACTTTTTCATTTGACGGATTGATGAGGTCTTACTCTGACATTCAGGCTGGAGTGCAGTGGTGTGATCAGAGCTCACTGGAGCCTCAAACACCTGGGCTCAAGTGATCCTCCTGCCCCAGCCTCCTGGATAGCTGGGACGATTTAGGTGCTGCACTCCACCATGCCCAGCTAATTAATTTTTTTTTTTTGAGATGGAGTCTTGCTCTGTTACCCAGGCTGGAGTGCAGTGGCATAATCTTGGCTTACTATAACCTCTGTCTTCTGGGTTCAAGAAATTCTCCTGCCTCAGCCTCCTGAATAGCTGGGACTACAGGTGTGTGCTACCATGCCCAGCTAATTTTTGTGGAATTATAGGCATAAGCCACTGCACCTGGCAAAAAAAAAATCTTTTTTTCTTTTTTTAGGGATGGGGCCTTGTTATGTGCCTGGGCTGGTCTTGAACTCCTGGCCTCAGGCAATTCTCCTGCCTTGGCCTCCCAAAGTGCTAGGACTGCAGGTATGAGCCACCATGCCTGGCTATAGGTTTTTTTGTTTATTTTTTGGTTCTTTTCTTTTTTTGGAGACAGGGTCTCACTCTGTCACCTAGGCTGCCAGGCCATAGTGCAGTGATGCAATAATGGCTCACCACAGCCTTGCCCTCCCCAGGCTCAAGAGATCCTACCACTTCAGTCTCCTGAGTAGCTGGGACCACAGGCACACACCATTATGCCCAGCTAACTTTTCTATTTTTCTTTTGTAGAGATGGGGGTCTCTACATTGCCTAGGCTGGTCTTGAACTCCTGGGCTCAAGTGATCCTTCCTCCTCGTGTTTCTGATGAGTTTGGCACATGCATCCCGGTGCACTGTAAGAGCTTTGCAAAGAGAAACTGTTACTAGAATCAATTAGTGTGAAATCTTATAACACCCACTATCTTATCAGCTCCAAGAAGATAGAGATGTTTGCCTACTTTGTGCTGTGGCGTATCCCAAGTGCCCAGAACAATACCTGGCATGCAAAGGTGTTTAGTAAATACTTACATGAATGAATCCTTCTTTATGTGACATACTTTAAAACACCCCAGGAAAGGCAGTTCAGACTCCTCGCCCCCAGCAGAAAGCTTACCTTTCAGGGTAGCTACAGCCTCTCCCACTTGACGCAGGAGGAAAGCCCCATCTTCCACATCTTTCAGAGTAACTGCTCGGCTGGCTGATGTGGAGTCCTTCTTCAAGTCTTCAACAAAGTCTTCCAGCTCACTGTGGGGAGCAGGGACACCAGCACATAAAGGTGAACATGAGGCCTCACAGAGGAAGTGCAGGGGCCAAATGCCCATCTCAGCCTCTGATTCTGTACCGTGCCCCAGCCCCTCCCCTGCCTTTCACGTGGTGGGGGGGCAGGTGCTCATCTTGGTACAGTGGCTTGGAACGTTTTGCAGTGGTGTGTGGCAGGTACAGGGAGGGTTTTCCAGGGAATCTTCCACGTTGGCCCAAGGGATGATTGTGCCTGGCTAACAGAGGACTCAGTCTTTATATTCAGTGGATGGATAGGTGGGGTGGGGGAAAGAGAGAGAGAGAGAGAGAGAGAAATAGAGAGACTAACCTGCGGTGCAGCAAAACGAGCAACCCACATTGGTTAATATCAGGCTTCTCGACTTTGGCATTTGACATTTTGGGGCCACGTAGTTCTTTGTTGGGGTGTGGGAACCTGTGCATGATAGGATCTTTAGCAGCACCCTTGGCTTTCATCAGCTAGATGCCAGTAGCAACCTTACCTACCCCAACTTGTGACAAACCAGAACATCTCCAGACCTAGACACTGTCCAATGTCCCTGGGGAACGGGGAGCAAAACTGCCCCTGAATGAGAACCTCTGGTTTACACTGACTGTCCCATCAACAAGGCTGAACTTTCTTCTCCAAGCTTCCAAGAGAAGAATGACTGCAGAAAATAAAAATGACGACAGATGTGGTGTCTGTGGATAGAGGGGGATGCTAGCTCTAAGAGAGGAGCTCGAGGTCTCACCCTTGAGAAAACAACCATCTCCTTGAGCGCATTATTAACCCCATCCTAAACACCTATAAATCTACAGAGAAATCTCATCTCTCAAGGAAACAAGGAAAAAGAACTTTCGGGAATGCAAACCACTAGGGGGCAGTAACTGAACAGCGATTCCACCTCCTGGAGCCTGGAGTGTGCAGCCAGCAGCGGCAAGAGAAAAAGAAACGCATGGTGTCATCTGCAAACAGATGGCCCTCAAAGGCCCCTTCCACTTAGGTGGGCAAGTGGATGGAGCTCTGGATCATATGGCAGCTGCGGGAGGGGTTCAGGCAGGATGCCACATGTGTTCAACAGGATCCCAGGGAAAATGACAAATTCCTCCTCTGCAAGAAGTGGGATGGAGGTTTTGGTGCTGTCTTTTATTCTGTTATGAAAAATCAACCAAAATTGCTTGTGTCCATTTCAGATGAAATTATGCTACTTCAGGACCAGAGGGGGAAAGCCGCATCTGCTCACTGTCCACACCTGTGAACTATGGAAAGGGGTCCAGTGTTCTGTGAGCACACCCATGGGAAACTTCCTACAGCTAATGCATTCTTGACACCAAGAGATTGTGCTACCCCACAGAAGGGCTCTAAATATGGTAACTTCATGTGGAAAAATTCTTTTCCATTGCATAACCAAACAGAATGACTTCCCTGCGTTGACCGGACATAGTGTCCAGTCCTGCAAAGCTTTGCTGGAAGAGCTAAGACCCAAATATTATCCTGGTTCTGTTAACAACCAACATGTCTGTCAGTGTGTAATTAACACTGCAAGATGCTGTCATCTGACTCAAAGTCAGTCTACCTAGAATTCTGCTGTAATCTCTTCTGCACAATCTGCATCTTGGATTTCATAACCCTGCGCACAGAGACTCTTAAATGTCACAGCTTTATGGAATGTACAGAAATGTATATTGATACGGCTGTATACAACCATGCCACCTCTTTGCAAATGTTTATGACACCTACCTTAGATAAAACATTACAAATCAAATTTGTTAATTCAAACGTAAAAGAGACATGGGGCTAAAATGAATGCCGGAAATACATTTTTAACATGGTAATCAATAAGACTTTTGAAATATCAGCTACACTCCACAGAATGTCAAATAGTCACAGATGACAGTTTATAGTATTCTGTTTGTTTAAATTGCTTTTCATCCTAGCTTTGTTAAAAAGAAGCACATAGTTTGTTGGAATATATTTCCCCTGACTATTAGTAGAAGACCAATTATTATTTTCATGTAGAAATTATCTAGACCCAATTTCTTTTCATAGTTTTATTTTTTGTAGACAGAGTCTCTCTCTGTCACCCAGGCTGGAGTGCAGTGGCCTGATCTTAGCTCACTGCAACCTCCATCTCCCAGGATCAAGTGATTCTCTTGCCTCAGTCTCCTGAGTAGTTGGGATTATGGGCCCCCATCACCATGCCTGGCCAATTTTTGTTTTTCAGTAGAGATGGGGTTCTGCCATGTTGGCCAGGCTGGTCTCAAACTTCTGACCTCAAGTGATCCACCCATCTGAGCCTCCCAAAATGTTGAGATTATAGGCGTGAACCACCGTGCCTATAATCTCAGCCCAACTCTTCATAGTTTTAGATCCAAATTTCATCTCTCTGTCTTCTGAATGGCTCACCAGTAATTCAACCTAACATGCTCCACAAGAAGACTTATATTCTAGTGCCTGGAAGAAGAAGGAGGAGAAGGAGAAGGAGGAAAAGGAGAATGAGGAGGGAGGGGGAAGGAGAGAGAGATATCGCTGTTCTGATATTCCAGAGTTGAAATTTCTGGCTTTTTAAAAATAAGCTCCTTTTAAATATCAATACACAACAGATGTGAATTTTGGGGTACCTGTGATAATTTAGTACATATAATTTGTACAGATCAAATCAGTGTACTTGGGATATCTGTCACATTAAATATTTGTCTTTTCTTCATGCTGGAAACATTCTAGTTCTTCTCTTCTAGCTATTTCCAGCTGTCTTTTATAATCTGCTCTCTTGCCATTCAGATCTATCCATCCCATCAGTTAACCTACTTTATATCATTTATAGAAGGAAAATTTACACTACTGTTATTAAAAGGATAATGTACATAGATATGT